AATCCTACTTCCTGTCTCCAGGGCCACATGCAGCTGCTTTCTGAAGCCTGCCAGCTAAGAATGGCTTTGACATTTGTAAAGGGTTATAAGGAACCACAGACACATATGCCACAGGATATGGCATGAGCACCCAAACTGGACACTGCCTCCACAGAAGGACCGGTGACCAGTCATTTGGAATAGAGGCCCCAAAGGTAGTAACATCCGTATGTGGCCATGGCTTGACAGAGGAGAGGATTCTGGGCATCGCATGTCCTCCAGCTGCTACTGCTCTGCCACCACACCTTGCCACCCAGACCAAGCCACCACCAAGCCCAGCTCAACATCAGGGCCTCCATCCAGGCACCCTCTCGCCAGAAAGGCCAAGTCTAGGAAGTAGACGCCTGAACTCCTAGGCCCCCAAGGTCCCCAAACCGCTGGCTGAAGCACTCACAAAACTCCACCATCAGGGCTGGATGCTCCTGTAGTGCCTGGCTCAGGGTGTTGTGGCTCAGGACCAAGATCCCATCATCCGTGGGGACTTCTTCCCCAGTGGACTCCTCAGGGAGCACCTCTGAAGGGCCCTCAGGTTCCTGTCCCTGTCCCCATGGGCCTGAGACACCCAGCAGGAGCAGTAACACTGGCAGGAGCCGACCATCCATGGCGTGCTGAGCCCTGAAGGCTGGAGTAGATAAAGGGACTGGGGACCAAGCAGCAACAGCCACGTGGCACCTGGCTGGGTCTCAGAGAAGATAAAGTGTGAAAGGCCCCTTAGGGGCGGAGATAGGCAGAAAGAGGCAACACGAGGGCAGCGAGACAGGGTAACATTTAATGGGCACCAGGCAGGGGGACACAGCAGAGTGAGGGACATCTGATCACCAACTGGGAGGTCTAGGGGATGCTTGCAGGTCCTTCTGCAACTGACAGAAACTGGGAACACAGGCCCCAAGGAGGTTCAGTCCTTCCAGTCCTGGCAGACGTGGAGGCACCACTCCCAGGACAGGTGGTCAAGCCTGTCATCATCAGTGAAGAGGGACCTGACCACGTAGAGGCCACGTGCCAATGCGCCCCTTGGTGCTTCCTCCACTGTCGTCACAAATTCATACTCCTGGGCCCGGGGGCCATAGCTGCCCACCATGAAGATGGCCTTGTCCACTGCAGAAGGAAGGTAGTCAGGAGCCACCCCTCTGCCCACCTCTCCCAGCCCACGGCTGCCCTCCACACTCTCTCACCACGTAGTCCCCGACGATAGGTGTGATGCAGACATTTGAGGCCACTGACAATTTCCTTGTTGACCTGGGGGAAAGGAGAATGTTAGGAGCCTTCTCTGGAAGGCTGGGACACAGCTGGCCCCCTACTGCAGCTACCCTCACCTTGAAGGTGATCTTCACCTTGTATTCAATGCCCTCCTTCAGGACAAACACCTGGTTTTTCAGGGCAGCCAGGTCTCCTGTCAGAGAAATAACAGGTACACTCTAAATTTCCAAGATGTGCAAGACCCTGCCCCAGGAATGTCTATGTAGGGACTGGTGGTGCCCATGACGTCTGTGGCAGTGCACCCAAGGAAGTAGGATTCTGCACAGGGTCGAGCGTAGGATCGTCTTCGTCCAAAGATGAGGCTCTTGTCTGCAGAGGGGGTTACCTGTAAGGTCCATGACGAGAGGCCCTGGAGCCTGATCAGACAGCAGCGTCAGCCTGGTCACCTGCACGTTGGGCAGGCTGGGGTCTGAGGAGAAACAGCATCCACAGGGTACCCTGCTGGCCCCACCTTCCCCCACCCCCTGCTTGCGACCCCCCACATCCAGGCCCCAGGCCATACCCACAACGGGTGGCAGGGGCCCCAGCAGCGCCTGCTTGTACTTGACCAGGCTCACGTCCTCAGGGTCCAGCTGCCAGATTGCCAGCATGCTCTTCTTCCCAGGGGCCTGGTACTCTGGTACTGTTTCGTCCAGCACCTCATCTGTTGGGACTGGCTCCCCCTCCTTGTCAGCCAAGAGGACTGGGAGTAGGGGAAGGGATTTAAGCACCTGCCACCTGCTGACTGGGACCCACACTCTCACCAGGTGTGCCTCCCACTGCCCAGTGGAGCTAAAGAAGCCAGAGGAGCTGTCACCGTCACCGACACACGGTGGCCCCTGAGTCCCTAGAAGTCTCTAGGCTTGGTCTCCTCAGGAGGGGCTCTGGTGACTGGAAGAGATCCCTAACAGACCCTGGAGAGACCAGTTTGTTTCTAATCAGCCTAAAGGCCACTGCTTAAGAGTAGTGGCCCTGGGGAACTCTAGGGGCTCCCCAGCTCTGTGCTCTTCTCATAATGTCCTAGGCCCCTGCGGTGGTGCCCCCAAACTAGGGGTCTCCATATCCGCTTTAGGTGTCTTGGGCAGGAGTCTCACTGAGATGCTGCCTACTGCCCTCCAACCTTAGGATTGCCTCTCACCGGAAGGAGCCCCAGCCCCACCTACGGGAGAGGCCGCAGCCTCCGGGCTGGACACACTCCTTTCCTCCTGACTCCCTTCTCCAGAAGGGTCTGCGTGAACTGAAGTCCCACGCCCGGCCAGAATCCACGCCACGAGGTCCCCACGAGCCCCCCAAAGTTGCCGCGGGGACTGACCCCCCCAACCGCACGGCTCTCTTGCTGCCCCCGGCGCACGTGGCCGCCTCCCGGCCGGGCCACTCACCTCGGGCGCACAGCGCCAGCCGGAGCAGTTCCAGCAGCTGCGCCCCCAGCTCGCACGCGTCCAGGCCCAGCATGGTAGCCGCGGCCCGCCGCGGAGCCGCCGCCCGCTCGGCTCAGCCCCGGCGCGACTGCGGTGAGCTCATCCCGGCCGGGAGCGCCCCCCGCGCCCAGCGCCGCGCCCGCGCCGCGCGCCCCCAGCCGCTCCGCGGACCCCGCGCAGCCCGCAGAGACGCGCGTGTCGTCCGCACCGTGCCGGAACCCCGTCGTCCCTGCCGCGCCCCGCGCCGGGACGCGTCGCCAGGGACCCAGGGCCGCCCCACCCCCATGGGGAGTCGGGTCCCCCGGGATCCCCTAGGCGGGGCGTGCCGGCCAGGGACGCCAAGTGGAACAGGTGCGACGCCCCCACGTCCCTGGACTCCCATTATCAGCAGGCGGCGCAGGGCACACCTGGAGCCCCGCAACCCTCCACCTGCTCCCTCCTTCTTGTCTGGGCAAAAGGGACTCCCGGGGCCTATTAGCCTCCAGCTGGGCCACACCCTGTTGGTTCTGGGCGCCCACACACTGAAGTGCAGTCTGGGCCACACAGAGTCAAGGATCCCTTAAAGCTTATTGGTGCAGACTGTGAATGTGGGGTGGGGGATGTGTCTATGGGGACCTGGGACTCAGGCAATTCTGCAGGTTCCTATGGCCGGGAAAAGAAAGGATGCTGAAAAAACAGAAAGTGGGTGCTGAGAGATTTCTTAATCTTGACATCCAGAGGAGCTCTAGGGATGGGAGGGGATGTTGGTTAGCCAAGGCAGATGGCTGGTGAGCTGGGCCTTCAGCTGAAGACTGCAGAACTAAAGACCTGGATCTGAGTAAGGAAGTTGTTGAAAGGAGTGTTTTTCCTCTCTGGAGAGAACCAGGGATCAACCCACCTTTGCTTTTCTGAGTAGCAGGGACCATGAACGCTGAAGCACTGGGCTAGTGGTCACACTGTCTACTACCTTTCCAAAGCAAAACCCTTCAAGAAGGCCCAGGATTCCAGGGAGACCCACCCCTGCCCTGCAGGGAGTGTGTAGTGTTAGACACTGAAATTACTTGTCCTTAGCTGGGGATGGCTTCAGCTGCCAGCAGCCTGAAACCTCCAGAGAATGCCTACTCATTCAGGGAGGACTGCTGTCCTTTGGTCAGCCTGACCTTATGTGTAGGTGAAGCAGGAGGCAGGAGAAGGCTGGGATCTACAGCAGATGTAACATATCTAGGCAGGACACTCTCCAGCCTCCTGATCCATTGGGATCAACTCAAATAACATATTGAAGGTTCCTGGCCTCAGTAAGGCAAATTCTCCCTCCTTTGGCTCCCAGCATCCCTTGGGTAGGGAAGAGAAAGAGGGCACCCTATCCTCAGGAAAGAAAGGACCCATTTGTGCCTTTTTATAAATGGTCAGTAATCCTGCCAGGTGTGGGCTACATCATACCACTCTATGGCTCCACCATGGCCATACATGGTGCCACATATCTGATACCCTTGGACCAGTCAAACTACAGCCTTGATCCCACATCCCTGACTCTGCTGGCCCCTGCACTCCTTAAGATGGATAGAGTAGTGCCTACTAAGACCCTAAACCGCTGCTCCCAACCTGGTCCACCTAGTCACAGACACCTCTGCTGGAGTTCTCTATCCCTTGTAAGGTTCATCCTTTCTTACTGTCTCCACCCTGATGAAAACCTGTCCTTTTCCAGAGCTTTGGTGAAATGCCCCATCTCCAAGACCAAGCCCTGAGGTAGGTAGCCACCAGACCAAGGCAGGTTCCTTGCTTGGCAGGTATCTGAGGTTTCAGGCTGCCCCCACGGCGGGCTATCCCAAGTCACAGCCTGAGAGAGCTTGACTTGGTCGTGCGGGAACCTGTGCTCACACGGTTAACCTTGGCGGGAGGGGCCGGCAAGGGGCGGGGCGTCTCCTCTCGGACAGCCGCCATGGCCACGGTTGCGGGCTGCACACCCCACGGCCGGTCCTCCCGCACGCAGAGGCCACATCTCAGCAAGGTGCGTCCTTGGCCTGTGGGCATAAGGTTTGGCAGGAGGGGGTCGTGGAACGCGGCGGAAGAGGTGGTTGAAGAGCACTGGGGAGACCCGGGAAGGCACTGGGAGTTCAGAATGACAGCACTGGGTGGCCCTGCTCCCGGCCTTTGCTGCTTCAGTTTGTTATCCCCGCGCGGTGGCCTGGGGATCCTGGGGGCAACTGCGCTTGATCTGAGTTGTTCCCCCCACCTCCCGCGCTCGCTCTCAGATGGAGCGGGTGATCGTGAGTATGCAGGACCCTGACCAGGGCGTGAAGATGCGGAGCCAGCGCCTTTTGATCACCGCCATTCCCCACGCGGTAGCGGGTGAGACTCGTGGACACCCTGGGGGAGCAGGGCGCCGCGGTCTCCGCCCACTTTGCCTCTCCCGTGCAGGCAGAGATGTCGTGGAATGGCTGGTTCAGAAGTTCTGCATCTCCGAGGAGGGTGAGAGTCAAGGCACACCGCGAATCGGGGAGTGTGGAAGGGGAGGCTAGCGGAGCGCTTACTTTTCGTTCTCATCAGAGGCCCTGCACCTGGGCACACTCCTGGCTCAGCATGGCTACATCTACCCACTGCGTGAGTCCCGAGACTTGACGCTCCATCCCGATGAGACGCCCTACAGGTTCCAGGTCAGGCCCAGGGTAGCAGGGTGCACCACCACCAGGGGAGGTGTGGGGCTTACTGGGGTTGGAGCGGGGACATTGAGACATACTAGACAGGACCCACACCCTCCCCCAAAAGATCTGGACAGAAGCAAGTCAAGGGAGCTTCAACTTTCTAGGGCTGCAGCAGCCGTGCAAAGGGCAATGTGCGGAGCATTCAGCTGGAGTCCAGCAGCAGGTCCCAGCCTTGAAAGATAATCTGCTGATGTTAGGGGCCCTGCACCTCCCTCCATGTGTGAGTCCAGGCCACCCCACGCTCAGACCATGACCACATCCTTGGGTTATCAGGCTCCACTTCTTCCCCAATCAGCTGGGGAGGTATTCAGAGTCACGGAAGCGGTCCCTTTACAAGACCCCAAGGAACAAAGTGGCCTCTGCTCCAGGTAGAAAGATTGGGCAGTGGTCAGCGGGAGCTTCCAGATCAGGATGCACCCTCTGAGGAGCCATAGATAGGAACCATAAGGTAGTAGGGAGTAACTGGGAGAGAGATGAGAAGGTCTTGGACATCATTTTCCCTGCACAAGACACCCTACTTCTGGACAAGCACTCTGTGGCCAGCTGCTGAGCTGGACTATGGTGAGTGAGATGGCTAGAAATCCAGTCTGGGAACTGGGTCCCAGGGCAGTGCCATAGGGTTTAGACCCTGATGGCTCCTGTGCACTATGTCCCTATCCTTCCAGCCATCTACCTGGCTAAGAAGAACATCCAAAAACAAGGGGCCCTGGTGGACTACGAGAAGGTGGGACCTCCAGAAGACTAAGGACTTCCAGCACAGACTCATCCCTTGAGCCCACAGCATACAGCCAAGGCCACTAGACAATGCACCCCTACTCAGCCCCTGCTGACTCACTGGAAAGCCCTCATTCCTCTAGGGGAGGCTTAAGGGTCCCAGAAGGGAAGGCAGCCCCAGTTTAGAATTCCCATGGCGTGAGGTGGTTTCTGTACCAGGTGGACAGACACACCCACACACACACCATTTACACTAAATCCCTGCAGTGCCCCTGGGAGCTGGGGTCTATGTTCTAGAGCTAGGCCTGGGTGTGGGTTACCCACTTTACCCACTGAATACCCTGCTGCCCTCCAGGAACATTATGCCCAGCTGCACAAGAAGATCAACCATGCCTGGGATCTAGTAGTGATGCAGGCTCGAGAGCAGCTGCGGTGAGACACCAAACCACAGCTAGTGGGACACTGAGCTCCGAGTGTTCAGGATGGCGAGCTGGGCACTGGCAGCTCCGGGGCCAAGAACATCACATCCCATGGCTCTGTGTGGGGATCAACTTCCTTTCACCTCTCCCAGGGCAGCAAAGCAGCGCAGGAAGGGAGACAGGCTGGTCGTTTCGTGTCAGGAGCAGACATACTGGCTAGTGAACAGGCCCCCTGTGAGTCCGCGTGTGGTGAGGGCAGAGTTCTCCTGGTCGTCAAAAAGGGTCTGTGTATGTTGCTAAAAGGTTCTCTCAAAACTGCCTACTTAGGGTGGTGTATTTCAGGGTCTGGGCAGTGACAGGCAGTTTGTTGCTTCTTGGTTGAGAATATATAGGTGACATGGTTAGGCCTGAGGCTGCCTCTTGTCCGGACCACAGAACAAGCCAGCTTCACTAGTGTATGGGAGACACACAAGCACTAACACGGGACCAAGGTGGGGCTGAGCCCAGCTACAGCAGAGGGACTGGGTTTCAGGTGGCAGTACCTGGGAATCTGAGGTCCTAGCATATGGCTTGAGGTCTGCCTACTATCTGAGGGGATCACCTTGAGTCAGGGTGGGTAGAGAGATGGGATTCAAAACCATGTCTGGACTCAGTTTCCACACCAAAGAATAAAAAGTGTTGAAGACTGTCAGGAGTAGGGGGCTTAGCACCCCATCTCATCCTTCTGCAGCCTGGGGCACCAAACATTCTGGAGCAGGGTCCTGAGAGGGGCTCTTACAACTCCAGCCGAGTACAGATGGTAAGAGCCTCATATTCAGCCCCAGCACCCCCACTCCCTGCTGCTTTAACGCTAACACACGCTCTTCCACTTAACCCACTTCAGAGATCATTGCTCTGCTCATCCATCTGTTTATCCTTTGATCCACCCCAAATGGACCTGATGCGGCAATGCCAAGGTCCCTATTTCTCGCTGTGCCTGGTCTCAGTGCCACCTGCGCTCTACCTCAGGCTCCCTTAGTAACTTTGTCCTTCTCCTTTCTCCCACCTGCGGCCTGGGTGCAAGTAAGTGGTGGTTCCGGTTCCGGGGGAGAGGGTTGGGGGAGGCTCTTCCCCCAGGCTGAAACAGCATCAGGGTTCCCAGGGAGGTGAAAGGATGACAGGCAAGGCTATGGCTTGGGGGACCTAGGTCCCCAGGCACCTCCCTCCAAAGCCTCTGGTAACATCCAACCTGGAGGAGGTGGGACCCAGTACAGACAGGTCCTAACAATGCAGCAGCAGCAGGCAGCAAGGCGTCAATCACCCCCACCTAAACCACATTCTAGAGCAGATCCTGTTTTTCACAGCACCTGGCTAACTCAGGCCCTAACCTTTTTTCCGTTTAAAGCAGAGAGACTAGGATGAATGTTGGAAGCCAGGGGCTCATCCACCCCAGTCCCTGGGCCCAGTGTGGCTAAGGAGTTGGGAATAGTTGTCCAGTCTATTGCATGGCTTCTGCAGTCAGCCACACAGAGCTGCCTAGATGTGCCGTGACTTAGTTAAACCCGGCTCCCCTGAGAAAGATTGCTCAGTATACATGTTTACAGGAAGACTTTAAAGACCAGGCATGGTGGTATGTGCTGTTACTTTCAGCACTTGAGAAGCAGAGGTAGGTGGATCTCTGTGAGTTCAAGGGCAGCCTGGTCTACATAGCAAGTTCCAGGACAGGCAGGGCTACAGAAAGAGACGCTGTCTCAAAACAAACAGCCAGGCACAAGGCTCACATCTTTAGTCCTTGCACTTGGGAGGCAGAGGCAGGTAGATATCTATGTTCAAGGCCAGCCTGATTTACAAAGGGAGTTCCAGGGCAGTTGAGCCCAGCCAGGTCTATTACACAGAGAAATCCTGTCTTGAAAAAAACAAACCAAAACAAACAACAAATAAACAAAGCATGATGACAGACACCTCTAATCATCCTGCTTGGGAGGTGAAGGCAGAAGGACCGGAAGTATAAGGGCATCCTCAACTACATTGTGAGTTCAAGGCCAGCATGAACCAAAGAAAACCCTGTTGCAACAACAAAAAGACCTCAAGTCATCAGAAAGCATGACAGCTTACTAACAAATGAAGGCTTTCTAGGTAACTGGGCTTAGGGTTTGGTAGAGCATCAGAGTCTCTAGATAAAGGCTGTCGAGGCCTCCCCTAGGGCTAGAGCTATGAGGAGGGGACTCCTGAAAGTTGGGGGCAGGTCTGAGCCACTCTCTGCTGCATCCTCGTGGGGCAAAGTCTCAGCCCTGGTTGGTGGCATAGAAGGATTCCTGAACCCCAGAAGGCTGCCTTGTAACTCAAGCCTCCCCTGTCTTCCAGACCTAGAGCTCGGATTTCTATAAGTGTGAGGTAGGTCCTAGAAACTTGGGGGGTAGGGATGCCCTCCCCTACCACAGGTCCTGACTCAGCTCTGGTGTCTTAGATCGAGCGCTTCAGGAAGGCACTGGGCAGGAACCGGGTGAAGTCTTCTGTCTGCCTTGAGGCGTGAGTGAGGGGCAGCAAGAGACCCTCCCAACCCAGACCCTTTGTAGAGCTCCTTGTCCCTAAGGCCATCCTGCACCGGTCCCTGGAACCCCCAGGTACCTGAAGTTCAGCAGCCAGCATGGCCCGCACGATCCCATCTTGTCAGGATGCCTGCCCAGCAACCCTTGGATCACAGACGATGTCACCTACTGGGCCATGAATGCGCCCAAGTAAGCCCTGGGTGTTCGGGTAGTCATTCACTCCCAGACTGTTAGCAGGATCAGCAGCCCACTCTCTCTTGCTCTGCCCTCTCCCCTCCCAGGGTGGCTGCCCCCACAAAGCTCCGTGTGGAGCGATGGAGCTTCAGCTTCCGGGAGCTCCTGGATGACCCCGTGGGGCGTGGCCACTTCATGGACTTTCTCCAGAAGGAGTTCAGCGGTGAGGAGCCTACCTTCCTGCTATAGGCACCCTCGAGGGGGGGAGACCACTGCCTGGGACCCTGCCCCAGGCTTTCTCTAGCCTTCTCAGTGGGACCCCTAACCCTGATTGCTGCCCTGTCCTCAGCGGAAAACCTCAGCTTCTGGGAGGCTTGTGAGGAGCTGCGCTTTGGCGGGCAGGCCCAGGTCCCTGCCCTGGTGGATGCTGTCTACCAGTAAGTGTGTGGGAGGGGAAGCTAGTTGGCCATGGCTCAGGCCCAGCATGGGCCTGCTCTGTGCCATCTGTGTCCCAGGCAGTTCCTGGCCCCTGGAGCTGCCCGCTGGGTCAACATTGACAGCCGGACAATGGAGTGGACCCTAGAGGGGATGCGCCAGCCACACCGCTATGTCCTCGATGCGGCCCAGCTGCATATCTACATGCTCATGAAGAAGGTGGGCACATCCTGGTGTCGCTGCTGTCGCAACCCTGCCTGCTTTGCTTTCAGTTCTGTTGGCTTCATAAGGAGCGAGCACAGCCTGTGCAGCTCACTGCCCTGGTTTCAGTAAACCAGCGTGGTGGCATTCAGACCCCACCATTGCCTGCTGTCTTTTGCCTGGGTGTCCATTCCCCACCCCACCCGTTTGTGTACTCTCTGGTCATCTAGTGGTATAGATGGAGTCAAAACTCGATTCTTTACAGTACTGATCAGTTTTAAAACAGTTACCTAGGTCCTTAGTATGTGTTCAGAGGGGTTAGCAAGTTTTTTAGTTTGTCTGAGTCGGGGTCTCACTCTATAATCTCTAACTATGTCCAGCTTGCCTTTGACTTGTAGGTGAGCCTCCTTGCCTCAGCCTCCTGATGCCGTTTAATACTATAATAAATAAGTAGATTTCTTAGGGCATGGCGTCGCTAACCTTTAACCCTGGCACTAGGGAATCAGAGGCAGGTGGATCTCTGTAAATTCAAGGCCAGCCTGGTCTATAGAGTGAGATCCTGTCTCAAAAACAAAAACACATGGATTTCAACATATTTAATAAGTTTCAGGCCGGGCAGTGGTGGCGCACACCTTTAATCCCAGCACTCTGGTCTACAAGAGCTAGTTCCAGGACAGGCTACAAAGCTACAGAGAAACCTTGTGTCGAAAAAAAAAAAGTTTCAACCTGTAACAATTGATTATCATCATCATCCTTGTCATTAGAGCCAGCCTCCTGTAGTTCAGACTGGCCTTGAATTTGCTGTGGACGACTCCGAACTCCTGATCCTTCTGTCTCCACCCTAGACTGCTAGGATTTCAGGCATCCATCATCATACCATTAAAAAAACACTGTTTCCTCAAAAAACAAAACAAGCAAACAAAAAAAAATCTAGGTGTGGTGGTGCACAGCTTTAATCCCAGCACCTGGGAGGCAGAGGCAGGTGGATTTCTGGGATCTCTGAATTTGAGGTTAACCTGGTCTATAAAGTGAGTCCCAGGGCAGTCAGGGCTACACAGAGAGACCCTGATTTGTGAGTTCTCCCACTTGGACTCAAGCTGACACTCCTGGCCTGGTCATCTTAATGATCATTCAGTGACACTCCCCCCCCCCCCCAGCCCTTGTTGGCCTCCTGCTCTCTGGTGTGTGTTTTGAGATGTGTCTTTTTTTTTTTTTTTTTTTTTTTGAGACAGGGCCTCTCTATGTAGCTCTGGTTGTCTTGGGACTCACTACGTAGACTAGGCTGGCCTTGAACTCAGAGATCCACCTGCCTCTGCGTCCTGAATGCTAATGGCATGTACCACCACACCTGGCCTTAGTGTGGGTTTTTGTAGGTTTTCTCTATTTTTCTAGTGCTCTGCCTTTTAAAGGATGATTCTTTCTTTATAACCTCACTATGTAGCCCAGGCTATCCATGAACTCATGCTCCTCCTCCCTTTGCCTCCCAAGGGTTGGGATTACAGGTGTGAGCCATCAAGCCTGGCTCCACTGTGCAGTTACAACCCAGCATTCTTGCCCTGCCTCTACAGAGAGGTGGGAGCACTCTGGCTCCTCATCTCTGGCTGGAGATACTGGTTCATCCCTCCATGTGTGAATACGGTGCCTCTTGCCCATGTTTCGCAGTCTGGTGGCCCCACCAGATGGGTGACAGTTCTGTCTAGGTCTTGTTCTGGGTTAGTGTTGGATGGTTGCCCCCACCCCCAGCACCCTGTCCTGAATGGCCTATAAGCAAGATGATGGCTGGCCCCAGAAATGCCTGACTGGACCTGGCTAGGAAGTGGAAGAGTCAGACAGGATGCTGTCTCCTGCAGGACTCCTACCCGAGGTTCCTGAAGTCTGACATATACAAGGGCCTGCTGGAGGAAGCTGTGATTCCACTGGAGACAAAGCGCTGGTGAGCCATGCCACCACCCAAACCCACGGAGCAGGGAGGACCCTGCAGAAAGACGACCCGGGGGTCCTCAGCACTTTCTTATCCCCAGGGCATTCCCATTCTTGCGGAAACCTCTGCACTCAAGCCCCAGCCCTGTTCTTCAATCTACCCCTGAGGAGCCTGCAGTGACCAGCATCCCTGCAGGTGGCAACGGGGAGCAGTAATTGGATCTTGCCAGTCACCTCACTTTACCTGTGGGGTCATGCTCTCCTGGACACTGGTATCGCCCTGTGTAGAGAGCCCAGCCTAACTATAAGGCCCTTGGGCCTCCACTAAGGAAATCCTCCCCTGCCTAGAAGGGACTGGTCCAGCCACTGATTCCTAGTGAAGAGATTTCATTGGCTGAGCCCTACCAGGACAGGACTTGTTCCTAGAAGGTAATTCTCAGAGTTCCTGGTATTCTGTCATCTTAAGTTCAAGACTAGGTGGCCATCTCTTCTCTAGAATGCCAAGTTAGTGACCCATGAAGAGATACTGGTCTCCGGTTATGCCATCCTATTCAGGAGGGCTCCACCACTGTGTGGGTTCCTTGTTCTGCTGGAGCTTCTTAGTAGACAGTATCTGCAGGTACCACATTCACCACTGTACATGGCTTCTCTTCCACCCGTTACCAGATCTGTAGAAAAGCAATTCCATGCTGCTGTCCTGGTTGTGATGCTTCCAGAACCCCTAGGGAAGGTCTTTGCCAAGGAACAGTCTCCCTCTCCAGGCTGCCCCAAGCCGCTAGCATTGCCATCCCTGCCCCAGAGCTAGAAACAGATGCCTCCTTCTGCCATGCAGCTCCCACCAGGGTTGTCCCCCAGTCTCTGCTCACAACTCATTTCTACAGAAATAAAAGATTCAAGCCCTTGCATGTGATGTGTGGTATCTGTAGTGTAAGCATGTCGTATATTGGTGTGTGTGAAGAGGGGGGAGGGAGGAGATCAAGGGTGTGGTTCTGGTATAAAAAGCAGCCACTACAGGTCTGGCAGGATGATGATTCGGGGGTAAAGGTGCTTGCTGTCAAGCCTGATGACCCGAGTTCAATCCCCAGGCCATCTTATCTCTACCATGGAGGGTGCCCATTGTGCTTGGGCTGCTGAGTGGCCCAGTCCCCTCAGGCTTCGGTGGTCTCAGTCTGCAGCCCTGAGGCCCTTGGTCGCGTGAGTGCAAGAGAAAGCCAGAAACTTGTCAAAGAAGGTGTGAGCAGATAGGATGCTGCCATCTGTCCAGTGTCCCCTAGAGCAGATGTGTCCAGCTGCAGGAGACACAACCCAAAGCAAGCCCAGGGACCCTAAGAAACCTTGGGCGGGCTAGAGGGGAAACTGCCTGGTCCCTTAATGATCATAAACAGCCACTAGGTGGCCTTCAGGGAGCAGGGTAGAGAGTACAACCCAACCTGACTGATGTCTGCCCTTTGACCCTGCACCTCATCCTGTGCAGTGGAGAGCCTGGCTCCTGAAATCTGGAGGTACACCCTTCTCCCCCATCACCATTTCTTCTCTGAGTGATATGTGTGCTGAGTTACCTTTACTTCTCAGGGTGAGGGACCCATTTCCTGCCTTGAAAACACCTATCCATCACCCTCAGCCCTCGTGTTGACACCTCAGGCTTTTGTGCACGTGCACACTTAAGATTTTTGAACATGAGCAGTTATGAGAACAAGTTTATGTTTAGCAAACTCCAAGATTCTCAGAAAAACTGATACTCTCAGGTCAAGCCCTGAAACCCTTCCAGGTCCTCCTGTGTAGTGACAGCCAAAGCTGACCTGATCTTCCATTTCATTACACTGCATAGCAGAACACAGAGGACACGATGCTAGGGTAGAGGTGCCTGCCGAGACAGCGGGAGCCGCTGTCCTGGTGACCATCCTAGAGGCTGTGCAGACTACAGGCTTGTTCCTATCTGGCAGGCCTGTGGAGAGCTCTCATTTTAACTGTCCTCTTAACCTTGGCTCCGAGACCTGGCAATTCCTGGTAATGACTTAGAATAATTCCTTTGTGTGTTGCAAGCCGAGAGACATCCAGACAGACTGCAGGCTCACAATGAGCTCCTGGGGCTTTCCCCCATCAGTGCAAATCATTTATTATGTTGTTTTCCATGGTGGCTAGGGTCATGGGACTGCTTTGGCTACAGAGCTAGGGATCTGGTCTGAGCAGAGCCCTTGGGCCTCAGGAGCAACAAGGCACAAGGTGAGATCTGTATCAGGTAAGCACCAGAGAGCAGGAAAAGGGACACGCCTGTGCAGACAGCAGGTCCAGTGTACTGAGGAAGAGACAGACTCAACGTGTATTCCAGAGGTCCCTCAAGTGCACTCACAGGCTCCAGTCCAGACCCCTTCTGCTGGGCAAACTCTTGCTGCTCAGGAGACATGCTCCTTTCTGCTTTGGGAAAGCAGCTCAGAGACTCAGGTTCTAGCTGCAGCCCTGAAGCCGCCCAGGGCCTACCACCCTCTGAGCTCTGTGACTCCTGAGAGACAGTGCAGACAAGGGGAGAGCCAGGCTGGAAGGAGAGGGACGGACAGACACCACAGGCAGGCACCCCAGAGCAGTGGCTTTTTCAGTGGAGTGTGAGAGGGTGCAGAGGCACTAAGTCGGGGGCTTCCTGAAGGGCTGGCTTGGCCCATATTGGCCCAGAGAGACCACAGGGAGTCCTACTGGCCTTGACCAGATCACATGAGTCACACAGTGAGACCTCTGAAGGAGGATATGGTATAGGCAGGAGACTGGAGGTGCCCCCAACATCCTTGGGTAGAGCTGGTAAGGCCATAGTTCTCAGAAGGCCAAAATGACAGGGCAAGCAGTGAGGTCAGCATGGAGGCTGAGGGTAGGCCAACTTTCCAGGAGGCTTTGTTTTCACAGTTGGAGTCTCCATCTACTCCAGCCGCCACCACCTACACCTCACTTCGGTACCGCAGGCGGGAGAAGCGGTCACGGATAGCCTGGTCGCTGTCTGAGCTGCCGCCGCCAAGGTGGACCACTCTGCTGCCAGGGACGAGGTCTCGCACTTTGTGTTTGGTCACAGTGACCAGGCCAGGCATGTCTGAGCTTGCTGGGCCCGTCAGGAGCACGTAGGCAGCATGGCGACTTGGCTCGAACAGGATGGCTGTGGGGGACATTCAGTGGTACTCAGGACTGGCCAGAGCAAACTAGCACAGGGAAGGCCCGGACCCAGTGCCTGAGCCCATGCTCACCATCAAAGGCCACGATGTTGGCAGTCACGTTGGCTAGCTCCAGCAGGATGCCAGGCAGGGTGGGGTGGAACATGTATAGGCTGTGCTGCATGTCTTGGGGACCCTGAAGTGAGAACACAGTGCGCCTGACCTGCTGCACCCAGGCCACTGCCACATCTAAGTGCGCAGCCCTCAAGTTACCTTCAAAAGCGGTTATCCATGTGTTATCCTTGTTTAGACTATGTCTACCAGGGTCCCCCAGAAAGCCACTTCCTGTTCTGTGAATATCTGCTAGCCCCTGCTTCCCCCACCTGGTCCTGGTCCTTCCTGGTGTTCATAAGCACCTGCCCCCCCAATTACAGGTCCACCCCATCTCCAAGATCCTTCTCCTGTAGCTCCAAGGCACATCATGATACCTCCTCCTTGGCCTGGACCCCTTTTCTACAGGTCTGCGCTCATGCAGTGGACTTCTGGTGGTCCAGTCCTTGGCAGTTTCCAGGGGGATCTGGCACCAGATCCCAACAAGGAGTATTCCCCGAACATATGACCCTGTACCATCTCATCGGCGCTGCCAAACTCATGGAGGCCCCAGAAGAAGAAGGCTGAGCGGTGGTCTGCTGTCATCAGGCTTGTGGATGGTGGGCCCCCGGGTAGGCTTGGGAGGTGCTGGCTCCACAGCATAGACCCAGTACTGAGGTCCAGAAGTAGGATCTGGGGAAGGAGGGGACACTACTGGCAGACAGCCCCAGCTTGCTCAGCCATGCCAGCCACAAAGGCTGCTCTCTGAATCACCTCCCCATCCGAGGGCAGCAGCCTGGGGCTCAGCACTGTCTGCTTTCACAGTTTGTCATCAGCTGTTGACAAGGTAGATGCCCAATCGACACAGGAAGCCCAGCCAGCCTACCTGTCTATCAATACTGGTTCCATTTTCAATGACCACAGCCAAAGTGTCTGGTTTGTAGTGGCCAAGGACGGGTTTTCTGGAAGGATTAAGGAAAAAGACCTCACAGAAGGTCTTGGTACAGGAATCTGAGATGAAATGTCCATGGCCGGCTCCTGGGTTGGATGGGGCTACCCACATCTAGACCCGGGATGAGGGGCTAGTACTTGTGACCAGCAGCTTCAGAAGCCCCTCCAGTGACAAAGGACAGATCCGAGGACAGCAAGGAGGCCTCTAACAGAATTACACAGGCCTTCCAGTCCACTGTACATCCCCCCTGCCAGTCAGCAGGACACACTGAGGTCCTGAGCAGGCGTGCACCCCCACCCACACTAAGCAGCAACTGCACATACCTCAGAACCTGAGTTGCACCAAGGGTCCACTTGGGCACCAGATCTTGTCCATCCAGCAGCATACAGGCCTCAGAGCTCACAAGCAGCACGTCCTGGCCAGCTTTCCCTGGGACATTCATCAGGTAGCGAACTGCTCCAGAGCTAGACGAGGAGAGTGGAGGTGGTGAGGGGAGCATATGGGTCCTGCCTCACCAAGACAGGCCTGTTGGGATTCTTCCCTCAGGCCCCCATGGTATATCTCCATGTTTCTCAGTTCCCTAGCTTGGAAGTATAAATGAGATGCTGTTTGTGGAACAAGGATGAAAGCTAGCCAAGCACACTATCACGGAGCCACCCCGGCCTTCTCAGTTTTTTCTCTGCTTTTGCTTGTCCATTTTTCAGTTCCAAAGGCATGGCGGCCTAACAGTTCTTCAAGGCTCTAGTTTGGTTGCCCTGTGCTCCACACAAGGTTGTCCCTAACTGAGACCTGTGTGTCAGACAAACCTGGGCAGAAGCCTCCGGTGGGCAGAGCTATTAAGCATATTCTCCCAGTAGGAGTCTTCCTTAAACTGGCCATCTCTCCCAGTGATTCTCTCATAGAGACCCTTCACAGAGACGCCGCAGAGAGCACTTGCTGTTTAAAACACAGAAGGACATAGTCACCATGGGGACCAGGTGCACCCATCAGTCCCACCTCCGGAACCACACCCAGTCTAGCCTTTGGGCTTCCTGATTGTTGGCCACAAGATGGCCAGTCACCAATTTACATGCTTCTTTATCTAGCCCGGAACCCAGTGTTCTGTCCAGCATCACTCCAGGAAAAAAGCCCATCCCAAGAATGTGGCATCCAACATACCACAGGGCAGGAGAATATAGTGAGCACCCGTTCTGGTCACATGGAGGAGGGCGCCACCGTCTCCATCCACACCCAGGCTGTCTCTGTGGCCAATCTGGTACCCGGTGCTGCCTGAATAGATAGCCCCGCTGACCTGGAGTAACAAAGAGCAGTAGGGAAGAGGGAGAACCTGCTCCATGGGAGGGCAGGGGAGCTTTAGGGAGTTGCAGAGAAGGTGGTAAACACTCTTTGGGTCTGGGGGAAAAGTACTTTGAGGAGAGTGACCAACAGGGAGCATGTGTGACTGTGCTGCACAGCCTGCTGGGAAACATGGGAGCTGTAGGTCATGGAGCTGCAGGCTCATGCCAACCCATACATAAGCCACGTGTGCTCTGCCACCCATGGGGAAGCCAGCAAGCTCCTGTAGAGATGGAGCCTCCCAGGATGCTGCACGTGTGGACCTCAGGATGCTGCATGTGTGGACCTCAGGATGCTGCATGTGTGGACTCAGATGCTGCATGTGTGGACCTCGGATGCTGCATGTGTGGACCTCAGGATACAGAGCCCTGGGAGAACCCCCTGCTGGGTGGTCACAGAAATTCTCTCTAGGGAAAAGTGGAAAAGGGAGTAAGTGGGCCTGGGGTACTTGAGAACTATGCTTATCACCTCGTGCCCCTCCCGAGCGAGGATCAGTAGGTCTGGGGCGCCATCACCATCAACGTCGGGCACCTGGAGCAGGGGGCTCAATACAGAAGCATTTCCACCCAAATTGCTGGAGTGGCTCCACAGGGTTTCCCCTAAAACCAAACACACAGAAGCTCCAATCATCTTGACAAGCCAATGATAGACTTACATGAGGGCAGCCATTCTTGGCAGCCCACTTAGATACAGGAGTGTGTACAAGTGCTCTGAAATGTTGCAGAACAAGCACACACAGCTGAGGGAGAAGATACTAGAAGATACTAGATAGCCTCTCGAAAAGGCAGCTGGGCACCACGGCTCAGGCCTGTAATGTCAGCATTAGGAAGCTGACCCAGGAGGCTTGCTGCAAGTGAAAAGCCAGCCTGGGATACAGGTCAGTCTGGACTACATAGTATGACCTTGCAAAAAACTGCAACATCATGGAGCAGGAGGATGGCTCAATGGTTAAAGCACTTGCTATACAAGTGTGATGGCCAGAGTTCAGATCCCCAGACGCTCACATAAAAGTTGGGTATGTCTTTCTTCCTCTGGCCTGTTACATTAAAGCTCGGAGACTTGTTCTAGGAGAGCGGCATCAGTAGGCTCAGTCTGGCCCTCTAAGCCACCAGGAGCCAAGGCTGACCACTATTACCTCATAGCAGGTGACACTAGTTGTCTGTTAGCATCCACAGCAAGATGCAAACTGTGTTTGCAAAGACACAAAGGCAACACGGCAGAGCAGCTGAAAGAGTTGACACCACTGGCTTCCAAGTGGTCACACCCTCATTTGAAAGGTTCCTACCCACTCAGCAACCCCCAGGAGAGAGCCAGGGCTGACCTGTGAATAAGCTGACCGCAATGAAAGAACCTAGTCTTCCCACAAGGATACAGGCAGAAGACACCTCACTGTCCGACGTTAGTGGTATGGCACACTTTACAAGGGTGATATCTTGGGCCACAGGTCTCTCCCAGAGCACGCTGCCATTGGCCCCGGACACAGCAGCCACAAAGGCACAAGGAGTGGAAAAGCCTGGAGGGGAGAGGGGACAACCATTTGGTCAGTCTCAGACAGTGTTCTGCCACCTCCTGGCTCCCTTATTCTGTGTCTCAGCCACGTGACTGAGCCCGTTTCCCTTACTTCCCCTTAGACCAGAGTCTCAGAAGGCACTGGGGTTGGCCCCAGGTAGAGTGAGGGAACTGAGAGCCTTATCGAGCCTATTCTATTAGAAAGAAAAAAGGATGGGGGTGGTTCCCTGAATCCCCTCCACTCGAATGCTCCAAATAAGAAGGTGGTGTGGACAAAGAGCCTTCATCCCATGGGGCGGGGGCTCCTTGTTAAATGGAACAGGAATTACCTTCATCAGCACAGGATCTGGTGAAATTGTTACTGCTGTCGGTGTTTTTATAAAGAAAGAGAACGTCCTGGATCTTGTCCCTGTTTACGTCTCCCGTAGCCAGAAAGTCATACGGGACTGAAAAAGAAAGTCACAGACTATGCTCCGCGGGCCATGCCTGTTTTGGGAAGGTCAAGTTGAATGCTCTGTGTGGTTTGGTGCTCCCAATGTACAACTTGCCACTGGGAGGTGCCCCCCCTCCCCAGATAAGAGCAGGATCTTCCTCACTAAGACAAGCAGTTTCTTCAGAGGCAGGCAGATCTCTGTGAGTTTGAGGCCAGACTGATCTACACAGAGAGTTCCAGGACGGCCAAGGCTAAAAGAAAGACCTTGTCTCAAAAAGAAACAAACAAAGTGAAAAAAAATCTGAGTATCTGTACAGAAGACAATCCTCAAGACCAGCATGGGGTTCAGTCACACTCCACCCTTGTTAGGCCCTGTGTCTCCGTCATCAAGGGTTCAAGTGAGAAGCTCTATGCTTAAAACCAAACCATAAGAGGTTGAATTTGGACATTTATCATACTCAAAATGGATCAGACTCCTAGACAGAATTAGAACTAGAAAATATAGGCCTGGTGTGATCTTTAATCCCAGCACTAAGGAAGTAAAAGTAGGCCAATCTCTGCAAGTTCGAGGCCAGTCTGGTCTACAGTGCTAGTTCCAGGACATCCAAGACTACACAGAGAAACCCTGTCTCAAAAAAAAAAAAAAAAAAAAAAAAGTGGGTGAAGGATTTCACAGCCATCTCTCCTAAGATGTCCAAGTGATGAACAGGCACATGCGAAGATGTTCAATGTGGCTACTTACCAGCCAAGAGCAGTTTTCTGCATGAGAACTGGGAGCAGGAGGTTTGGGATGAGTTCATAGCCTCAGTGACATAACACGTCTGAGGCCAGCCTAGGCAATATAGTACTTCTAGGCTAGCAACAGTTCCATAGCCAGAACTTGTCTAAACAGCAGTGGCTGGAGTGGACAGCTCAGTAAATACACTGGCTGCTATTGCAGAGGATCTGCCAGAGGCAGAGGCCAGCCTGGTCTACAGACTGAGTTCCAGGACAACCAAGGCTACCCAAAGAAACCCTGTCTGGAAAAACAAAAAACACAACAACCAAAAAGACAAAAAGAGAGAAATACATTCATTAAAAGAACAAGACTTGGGCTGGAAAGATGGCTCAGTACTTAAAGAGCACTGGCTGCTCTTCCAGAGGTCCTGAGTTCAATTCCCAGCAACCACATGGTGGCTCACAACCATCTGTAATGAGATCTGATGCCCTCTTCCGGCCTGCAGTCCTAATGGAAGACAGAACACTCATATGCATAGATAGATAAGTCTTAACAAAAAAAAAAGCAAGACTTGGGGAAGTAAGGATGCAGCTCAGTTGGTAGAGTGAGTTCATGGAGCCCCGGGTTCAGTCTCCTGGACCACAGGTGTGGGAGCACACTCCCATAATCCTAGCAGTTAGGGTGTGAGGCAGGAGTTCAAGACCAGCCCAGCTCCACCATACGTCTGAAGCCATCCTGAGGTTAAATGAGAACTTGTCTCTAAACAAACAAACAAACAAATAAAACTAAAAATGGAAAGGCTCTTCCGCTGCTTTTCATAAGGGTTAATTCATGGGACAGATATAAATTGTGATTTGGTTTCCCACCTGGACCACCTCGGGACACCTCCACATCTGCTGTTCCCCCGCAGCGGATGGGCCTTCTCTAACCTCTCAGTCACTGAACTGTTTCCATTAATCAGCCAATAAGCCTCCTTTTTCTTAATTACCTGACCAGGGCAGTGCTTCCGGTTCCAATAGAGGCTCCTAACATCTCCAAGTGAGGGGTCTGGAACCCTGCTGGGAAAAGAGGCCCCTGGCAGGCTCACCTGCAGCGTTGTAGTCAAGCCTCCACATTCCCTGAGACGAGGGTCGGTCCGGACATGGGATGATGAAAGAGACGACAAAGACCACGAAGAGACAGATAAACAAGGAAAGGAAAAATGCCACCGTGCGGCATCGGGACAGGCGGGACTGCGGAGGCTTGCTCTTCAAGTTCTCGCTTTTCGATTGGTTTCCCAGGTTTTCCTGTGGTTTTCTGTCCTCATTCTTCAAGGGGTGGATTTCAGCTTCTAGATCCTTGTCATCGCCCATTCTGAGCACATTCCAGAGCTTAACTATGCTCACTGCGTGGGAGAAGAAATGGGTACGGTCAGCAGTTCCGTGAGCTGCTCACCATCTCACTCAGTTTGTGCTCTGATTCTGAGGCATTGGTTACAGTTGCCACTCTGGACCACCAGCCCAAGAAAAAAGGATATGAATTTTTGGACTGTCCACAACACATGCTACTTAAGACATCAATACAACAGGAAAAGGCAGGTTGGTTGTACAAACCAGCAAACCAGCAGCCAGTATATTTGTCCTCTAACACCAGGGCTTCACTAGGGGACACGGTGACCAGAACCAATGACAATAAACCCACGCACGACATTCATTAAACAAGCTGCCCCTGCTCATTTGTCAGACACACAGGTGGGGAAGGGGATGTGTGACAGTCGGATGCGGCCAACATTCTCACAAACGGACTCCCAAGAGATCCGTGGGAAGGCAGTTTTCTCTGAACTGAAAGATTCTCTCCAGGAAGGAGTGGGAGGCACAGTGGAACCTGAAAGATTCTGGAAGGACCCTTCCCAGCTTCACAGAAAGAGAAACAGCTCCTGGGAGGGAGACTGACCAGCCAAGTTCTCAGGGGAATCTCAGATCTGGAGGGTCTACAAAGCAGCGCAAAGAGAGAGCTCCTGGTCAGAGCTTCCTGAGGTAGGGTGCTACCTGAGTTAGGGTGCTTTCAGCTGCTTTGGGATCTTCTCTGCTCCTGCAAGTGACCCCTCACCCACATTCTTGTTAGTAACCCCCCCAAATTTATCGGTTCACCAAGCTGGACTTTGTTCTGTCATTCATGGGTTCCCATTCTGGGGTGAGTCGATGCCTCCCCAGGAAAAGTCTGCCACATAAGATCTAGACACTGGCTACTCTTCCATAGGACCCTGGTTTGATTCCAAGCACCCACATGGCAGCTCACAACGATTCATAACTCTAGTTCCATGGGATCTGATGCTTTCTTCTGGATTCTGCAGGCACTGCACACACATGCTTTATGGACATACATGCAGGCAAAACACCCATACACTTTAAAAATAAATTACACCCATACACATTAAAAATAAATTACACCCATACACCTTAAAAATAAATTACACCCATACACATTAAAAATAAGCTAATTAATTAAAAAAATCTAGATTCCAATTTCAGAGAAACTTTTGTTGTTGTTGTTGTTGTTGTTGAGACAGGTTCTTACAAATTCTGGCTGACTGGGAACTTACTACAGGAGACTAGATTTACCCTGAACTCACAGGGATCCACCTGCCTGTGCCTCCCACTACCAACTTAAAACAATCTTAAATGAGCCGGGAGTGGCGGTGCACGCCTTTAATCCCAGCACTTGGGAGGCGAGGCAGGCGGATCTCTGGCATCTCTGAGTATGAGGCCAGCCTGGTTTACAGACAGAGTTCCAAGACAGCCAAACCATCTCAAACTTTGGTCCTCTGGAAGGGCAGCAAGTTCTTTTAACTGCTGAGCCACCTCTCCAGCCCATGGTGTTTTTTGTGTTTGTTTGTTTTGTAGTAGTAGCTGTTGTTCGCTTGTTTTTTGAGGTAGGGTCTAACTATGCACCCCAGGCTGGCCTCAAGCTCACAATCTCCTCAGTTCATGGCTATAGTCACATGTCAGCATGCTGTCTCTTCTACCACAAATGGAGGTCAGAAGAGGTATTCCTATCAAAGGTAATGAGTCGGCCAAGGGAAAATCAAACATTGAGTCATCCAGGCCCCACATTAAGCCCAAGCCCCTGAGGTGGATGGGGCAGCACAGCCGGGCTGTATGGGAGAGGTAACCGGGGGAAAAGTCAGCAGTGCACCTGGCAGGGGGCAGCAGCAAGGTGCAAGGTGCTGGGCGAGGCCGGGCCTGGAGAGAAGCCAAGCTGCAGCAAGCCCAGCGCTGCAGACACAAGGAAGGGACATCTGAATGTCTAAAGCACAACTGTTTGTGGCAAGGCAAGGAGAACCGAATGAGAAGCCACCTGCTAGCATTTTTGATCCTATCTTTAGGGCTCTGGAAGCCCTAAAGTCTAATTAGGGGAAACTCCAGCCTGAGCCGAGCAGCCATCACTACCTGTCGGAAACCAGAGAATCTTTTGGTGCTGTGCAGGCAAGCACCTCTGAGCTTCATATTTCAAGTCAGGTGTGGTGGCTCACATCTGTCATACTGACATTTGGGAAACTGGGATAGGAGGACTGTCCCGGTAGAAGGCCAGACTGAGCTACAGAACAAGACCCCGTCTCAACAACAGCAGAAACCTTCACCCACTGGGCATAAGGCAGGGTCATAGGAGTTTGAAAACACAGCCCATCTGCCCTTAAGGTCCACATTTCCCAGATCTACCTGGCGGTGGGGGCACCTGAGGGCCTGTTCAATAGCAGAATCTCCTGGCCAGCAGCTGGGGCATTTGATCACTGGTTGCAGATGGTCTTCGCCTCCATAAGCCCAGGCAGACCTAAGGGTTTGTAAAGCCTTCAGTAAATGCACTTCAGGTCACCAATGACTGCAGCTGGTCCTGCCACAGCTAGCCACACTCTCCACACTGGGGTGCCTACACAACGCTGGTCCCAGACCCCATACTGTCTAATAATTGCCCCTCAGGCTGGGGTCTGAGTCAGGGTCAGGACTAATGTTCTCCTAGAGGCTCCCAGGGGCAGCTAGGTGGAGGAGGAGTGCGGAGAACCTGCCCTTGTTTGTCTGTCTCATTAGCTACCACTAATTCAGCCGCTGTGGCTCATCCAATCAGAGGATGGCCACAGTGCTCCTCACTCCCAAGGGGAGCCTCATCTTACTGCCAACCAGGAGAGGTGCGGAGAGAAGAGAACACCGCCTCGATCAGCTCACCATGGTGTATAGAGCGTTCTTCTTTTGGGCAAATCTCAGGAGACTTAGTTGATCTAAGTACAGGTTTCAAGCTACTAAACTAGTGTCCATCCATCTGTGTATCTGTCTGGGGACTGGACTTGCACCTAAACACTGAGCTACAGCATCATCCTGCTTTTCCTTTTATTTATTTAATTTTTTTTTTTTTTTTTGAGTTAGTGATAGTTTTGAGACAGGGTCGGTCTCACTATGAAATCCTGACTGGCCCAAATATCACTATATAGACCAGGCTGGCCCCAAACCCAGAGACTCATCTGCCTGCCTCCCGAGTGCTGGGTTAAAGGCAGGTGCCACCACATCTGGCATTCTTTTGTATTTTGAGACAAAGTCTCATGTAGCCTAGGGAGGTCTTGAACTCACTATGTGCCAGAGGTGACCCTGAACTCATCTAGCGTCCACTCCCCACGTGCTGGGAACACAGGAGTGAGCTGCCATGCACGCCCAGTCTATGCAGTCAGAGAGGCAGCCCAGGACTCGTGTTCACTAGGTGTGCACGCTACCATCCGAGCTACAGCCCCAGCTCCTGTTCTCCTTTTCTTAGTCATTCTCAAATTCCTAAGCCACGTGGACACCTCAACCTAAGAACAAAGGGCCACGTAAAGCACTACAAGTTAGTTTGGTTTTCTGTTTATTTATTTTAATTTTTGAAATCGGCCTAATTGGCTCAGCATTTAAAAATGTTGCTGTCCAATCGTGAGGACTGAGTTCAGATCTGAGCACTCACAGTGGCTGGATCATTAATGCCTGTAAGTGCAGGTTCGCGGGTTTGATTCTCTCCTGCCTCCATCTCCATCTCCACACACGTGTTCATACATTCACAGAGATAACATACACACAGACACACGCACAAGAATAAAATAAATTAGCCAGGCGGTGGTGGTGCACACCTTTAATCCCAGCACTCAGGAGGCAGAGACAGGTGAATCTCTATAAATTCGAGGCCAGTCTGGTCTACAGAGTGAGTTCCAGGACAGGTTCCAAAGCTACAGAGAAACCCTGTCTCAAAAAAACCCTAAACAAACAAACAAACAAATAAATAAATGTATGTTTAAAAAGGTCAGTAATATGTGGACATGGTGGTGCACTCCTGCAACCTAGCACTTTGGTGGTGAAGAAAGAAGATCAGAACGCAAAGTTACCTTCAGCTACATGTTAGATTTAAGGCCTGGCTTGGTTACATGCACCTGTACCCCCCAAAAAAACTCAGTAATGAAAACATCTAATACAATCTTTGGAAGGCAAAAGAGGGCAAATCTTAGGAGCAGAAGCATGTTACCAGTTTCTTACTGTCCTTTCAGAATAGCCCACACATCTATGGAGATATGGCAAGGATACCTCCAGAAGGCTATTTTATGCCTACGACCAGGAAAACAAAAGCTGGCCTGGCGGCACAAGTAAAAGTGAACAAAGTAAAATGAACAGAGTAGCTACGCTATAAAGGTGGTCTCTCAAAGCTAAAGGAGCAGCAAACTCTTTATTTGATGGAGGAGGGAAATGATGTCTATGTGTTACTTTCATTGGTTAATAAAGAAACTGCCTTGGCCCTGACAGGATAGAAAATTAGGTAGGCGGAGTAGACAGAACAGAATTCTGGGAGAAAGAAAGCTGAGTCAGGCAGGCACCATGATTCTCCTCTCCGAGGCAGACGCCAGTTAAGAATCTCCCTGGTAAGCCGCTACACAGATTATTAGAAATGGGTTAATCAGTTAGTCAAGATGTGAGAATTAGCCAATAAGAGGCTAGAACTAATGGGCCAAGCAATGTTTAAAAGAATATAGATTCTGTGTAATTATTTCGGGGCATAAGCTAGCCATGCGGGAGCCGGGGCAGCCTGAACGCAGCCCAGCACTCCACTCACTACATTTATTCTTATGCTTCACTGTTCATTCCTTCATTCGTTCATTGTGAGCAGGTGTATGTGTATGTGCCCGCGTGTGAGTTCAGTCAAAAGACAACTTGCAGGAGTTGGTTCTCTCCTTCCCAGCAGGATTGAACTTAGGTCGGTAAGTGAGCAGCAAAAGCCCTTCCCACAGCCATCCTATCACCCTGGGAATGGGAAACGTTAATATACTTCGTGATTTATCATATGACATCACACCAGATGGGTTGCCTGTGGCGGGAATGGAGCACTGCCAGTTTCTGTGACTGGTTTTTGTTGCTGTTTTGAAACATGGCTTCATGTAGCCCTGGATGGTCTCAAACTCACCACATGGTCAAAGCCGGACTTGAACTCTAGTATTGGGAGTACAGGTGTACACCACTATGTCTGGGCATTTTGTTTTGTTTGTTTGGGTTTGGACTAAGCTAGGATCTCACTATGCAGTCCGGGCTGGCTTGAAACTTGTGATCTTCCTGCCTCTGCCTCCCAGGCACCAGGATATCACAGGTGTACATCACTCCACCAGCGAGTTATCTGTTTTCTGATTTGGAGCCCAGTGAAAGAAAAAAACACTGCCTGCCCAGGCTCCCATCTCTGCCACAGGCTTAGAAGTAGTGAGTGGACACCATGAATGCTCCTGAGTGCCGGGTTAGCTAGGTCGTCAGGTCATCAGAGCACATGTGGAGGTCAGGGAACAACTTGTGGGAATCAGTTCTTGCCTTGTATCTTTTTTTGTTTGTTTGTTTGTTTTTGTTTTTTCAAGACAAGATGTCTCTGTGTAGCTTTGGAGCCTGTCCTGGAACTCACTCTGTAGACCAGGCTGTCCTCGAACTCACAGAAAACAGAGGCCTAGAGCCGGGCGGTGGTGGCGCACGCCTTTAATCCCAGCACAGGGAGGCGGAGGCAGGCGGATCTCTGTGAGTTCGAGACCAGCCTGGTCTACAAGAGCTAGTTCCAGGACAGGCTCCAAAGCCACAGAGAAACCCTGTCTTGAAAAACAAAAAAAAAACAAAACAAAACAAAACAAAACAAAAAAACCAACACAGAGGCCTAAGAGAAGTGGGAATCACTCACTTGTTGCCCATCGTCCAGGAAGCAGCAGAGGCTGTGAATGAGCCGTCTCCAGATTCCCAGGCCAAAGTCGGACCTTTGGAGAAAACTATGGGGTGAAGTGAGGATGGCCTGGGAACCCACCAGATCAGGAGACCTGGGGATGGGGAGTGAAGGACACCCTATTTTATTTACTTGTGATACTAGAGACTGGTTTCCTGCATAGGAGCCAAGTGAACTCCACTGAGCTACATCCATTGTCCTTAATTTATTTTCTTTTTAAGTAAATAATAGGTTGGAGAGGTTCCATGGCTAAGAGCACTGGCTGCTATCCAGAAGATCTAGGTTCAATTTCTAGCACCCACATGCTGGCCCAGAACTATCTGTAACTCCAATCACAGGGAGTCTGATGCCCTCTCCTGGCTTCCATAGGTACTGCATTCATGCAGTACACAGACATACATGCAGGCAAAACACCCATACAGAATAAAATAAGGCATAAATTTTAAAAAGATATATAAATGAATAAATCAGTGATGATCCAGACAATGCATGTCTGCAATCTTAACTGACGGGTGGGGGGGAAATGACCAGGAGTGCAACATCAACACCATCTTTACATAGCAAGTCTGTAATGAGACCCGTGTCAAAGGAAACAAAGGGCCCAGGGGAAGTGTGGCCTGCAGAAAGGGACAGAGTACATGGCTGGCATGCTGCAAGCCCAGGCCTTAATCCTGTTGTTGCCTCCAAAAGAAACAGCGATGATTCTGTTACTCAGTTTCTATCTGGGGCTGAGGTGAATGTGAGCAGCCAGCAGAGGGGCGGTCAAGACTGGCAGACATGGGGGACCGTTTGGGCACAGCCTTGTAAACAAAGACCCAGAACTTCACCTCGACGTTTCTCCATCAGTTACTCAAGCGCTGTGCTGGGCATCTGGTGTGGAAGCATTGGTGAGGCTGCTGAAAACACCATAAGCAGCTTTCCCAGAAAATCCTGATTCGCCAGAAAAGAGCACTAAAGATTCGCCCTAGTCATTATGCGATAAAATGGCTGTAGGAAGTAGTGCAGAAATGGTTCTTTTTTTTTTTTTTTTTTTTTTTTCTCGAGACAGGGTTTTTCAGTGTAGCTCTGACTGTACTGGAACTTGTTCTGTAGATTAGATTGGCCTCAAAATCACAGAGCTCCGCCTGCCTGTGCTCTGCCAAAGCTCCTGAGTGCTGGGATTAAAGGTGCAGGCTCGAAATGGTTCCATCTAAAAGGGTGAGAGAACTCGGGCGTGGCTGACCCACGTGATCCCAGCCCTAGGTAGGCCTGGGCAGAAGTTCAAGGCTATGCTTGTCAACTAATGAGTTTAAGGTTAACTAAATGCTTAAGACCCAGTCTGGAAAATTCAGGAAAAGCCAGGTGTGGTGGCTCATGCCTTATATCTCAACATCCAGAAAGCAGAAGCAGGTAGACCTCTGTGAGTCAAGGGCCAGCTCCTCTATATGGGGAGCTACCTTGAGCTGCCTGAGAGGCTGTCTCAAAAAAGAAAAGAATGAGAACTGGGTAGGCAGTCAAGGACCGGAGCTGACCCGCTGACCCTCAGGTCTGTGGAGAGCCTGAGCAGGCTGGTGAGCTTTGTGACCAGGCACTAGGGAGGC